TGGACTTGATTAACGATTTCCTTTCCCATATTAGGGAAGTTTTCAACTATAATCTCTTCAAATATTTTCTCAGTCCCTTTCTTTTTCTCTTCTTCTTCTGGAACCCCTATAATTCGAATGTTGGTGCGTTTAATGTTGTCCCAGAGGTCTCTGAGACTGTCCTCAGTTCTTTTCATTCTTTTTTCTTTATTCTGCTCTGCAGTAGTTATTTCCACTATTTTATCTTCCAGGTCACTTATCCGTTCTTCTGCCTCATTTATTCTGCTATTGATCCCATCTAGAGTATTTTTCATTTCATTTATTGTGTTGTTCATCATTGTCTGTTTCATCTTTATTTCTTCTAGGTCCTTGTTAACTGCTTCTTGCATTTTGTCCATTCTATTTCCAAGATTTTGGATCATCTTTACTATCATTATTCTGAACTCTTTTTCAGGTAGACTGCCTATTTCCTCTTCATTTGTTAGGTCTGGTGGGTTTTTATCCTGCTCCTTCATCTGCTGTGTGTTTTTCTGTCTTCTCATTTTGCTTATCTTACTGTGATTGGGTTCACCTTTTTGCAGGCTGCAAGTTCGTAGCTCCCGTTGTTTTTGATGTCTGTCTCCAGTGGCTAAGGTTGGTTCAGTGGGTTAAAGTTATTAAAATAAAAAATAATTATTAAGAAAAAAAATTTTTTTAATAGGAAAAAGACAAAAAACACAAAAGGATAGATAGAACCCTAGGACAAATTGTGGAAGCAAAGCTATACAGACAAAATCTCACACAGAAGCATACACATACACACTCACAAAAAGAGGAAAAGGGGAAAAAATCATAAATCTTGCTCTCAGAGTCCACCTCCTCAATTTGGGGTGATTCGTTGTCTATTCATGTAATCCGCAGATGCAGGTTACATCAAGTTGATTGTGGAGCTTTAATCTGCTGCCTCTGAGGCTGCTGGGAGGAATTTCCCTTTGTCTTCTTTCTTCGCACAGCTCCCGGAGTTCAACTTTGGATTTGGCCCCACCTCTGCGTGTAGGTCACCGGAGGGCGTCTGTTCTTCGCTCAGACAGGACGGGGTTAAAGGAGCCGTTGATTCGGGGGCTCCGGCTTACTCAGGCCGGGGGGAAGGAGGGGTACGGATGTGGGCCGAGCCTGCGGCTGTAGAGGCCAGAAGGACGTTGCACCAGCCTGAGGCACGCCGTGCGTTCTCCTGGGGAAGTTGACCCTGGATCCTGGGACCCTGGCAGCAGTGGGCTGCACAGGCTCCGCGAAAGTGCGGTGTGGATAGTGACCTGTGTTCACACACAGGCTTTTTGGTGGTGGCAGCAGCAGCCTTAGCATCTCATGCCCGTCTCTGGGGTCTGCACTTTTAGCTGCGGCTCGCGCCCATCTCTGGAACTCCTTTAAGCAGTGCTCTAAATCCCCCTCTCTTCGCGCACCAGGAAACAAAGAGGGAAGAAAAAGTCTCTTGCCTCTTTGGCAGGTCCAGACTTTTCCCTGGACTCCCTGCTGGCTAGCCTTGGTGCAGTAACCCCCTGCAAGCTGTGTTCACGCCACCAACTCCAGTCATCTCCCTGAGCTCTGACCAAAGCCCGAGCCTCAGCTCCCTGCCGTGGCCGCCCTGGCGGGTGAGCAGACAGGCCTCTCGGGCTGGTGAGTGCCGGTCGGCACCCATCCTCTGTGCGGGAATCTCTCCTCTTTGCCCTGCATACCCCCTGTTGCTGCGCTCTCCTCCGCGGCTCCAAAGCTTTCCCCCTCCACCACCCGCAGTCTCCGCCGCGAAGGGGCTTCCTAGTGTGTGGAAACCTTTCCTCCGACACATCTCCCTCCCACTGGTGCAGGTCCCGTCCCTATCCTTTTGTCTCTGTTCTTTTTTCTTTTGCCCTACCCAGGTACGTGGGGACTTTTTTGCCTTTTGGGAGGTCTGAGGTCTTCTGCCTGCATTCAGTAGGTGTTCTGTAGGAGCTGTTCCATGTGTAGATGTATTTCTGGTGTATCTGTGGGGAGGAAGGTGATCTCCACGTCTTACTTTTCAGCCATCTTCCCTGATCTCTTCTGCCTTTTTACTAGGAGAGTTTAGTCCATTTACATTTAGAGTAATTACTGATGAGGATTTACCTCTGCTATTTAGCTATTTGTATATCATATATGTTTTTTGTTCTCCAGTTCTTCCATTAATTCCATTCAGTTTGTGTTTAACTGAATTTTTGTGGTGTGTCCTTTTGATTCCGTTCTGTTTCCTTCTGTATGTGTTCTTATTTTCTTAGTGGTTACCTTGCAGAGTAAAATTAACATCTTAAACATAGAACAACCTACTTTTAGTAATACCAACTTTTTCGGTAGTGTGTGTGTATATATATATATATGTGTATATATATATATATATATATATATATATATATACACATATATATATATATTTTCCTATATCTCTCCGTCTCTTCCCTTTATATTGTGATTGTCACAGATAACATCTTTATATATTTTGTGTCTGTTAACATAATTTATAAATATTGTTTTAGGCATTTGCTTTTGAAATCACATAGGGAAAAAAAGAAGTTACAAACCAAAAATACAGTAATTCTGACTTTTATATGTATTTATGTTTTTACCTTTACCGGTGTTCCTTATTTCTTATAGATTCAAGTTACTGTCTAGTGTCTTCATCTCAGGCTGAAGAATTCTCTGTAACATTTCTTATAGGGCAGGTCTACTGGAAATGAACTCCCTTAGCTTTTGTTTATCTGAAAATGGCTTAGTTTCTCCTTTGTTCCTGAAGCCTAGTTTTGCAGGGTGTAGAATTCTTGATTGACTGTTTTGGTTTTTTTCCACAACTTTAAATATATCATTGCACTGCCTTCTTATCTACATGGTTACTGGTGAGAAACCATCTTTTTTAAAACAATGTCTGTTTGTTTATTTATTTATTATTTTTGGCTGTGCCGGGTCTTAGTTGTGGCATGCGGACTCTTAGTTGCGACATGCAGATCCTTAGTTGTGGCATGTGGACTTTTTAGTTGTGGCATCCCTGCGGGATCTAGTTCCCTGACAGGGATCCAACCCAGGCCCCCTGCATTGGGAGCATGGAGTCTTACCCACTGGACCACCAAGGAAGTCCCGAGAAATCATCTTTTAATCTTATTGAGGAACCTGATTTCCTTTAGTTCTTTTGTTTATGGTTTCCTTTAGCTAATTGAGTGCGTTTAAGGCAGCTGATTTAACATCTTAGAGTAGTAATTTCAGTGTTTGGGCTTCCTCAATGGTAGTTTCTGTCAAATTCTTTTTTTTCTTGTGAATGGGCAATATTTTCCTGTTTCTTTGTGTGTCTTGTAAGTTTTTGTTTAGAACTAGAAATTCTGAGTGTATCTTTTACTTGTTGAGAGCTGGACCTGTTTGTGACATTTCCAAACTATTTTTCCAATGTGTAGTCCTTGTGCACAGGCATACTGTATTTTATTGCACTTTACTTGATTATACTTCACAGATATTGCGTTTTTTTACAAAATGAAGGTTTGTGGTAACCCTCCATTGAGCAAGTCTGTTGGCACCATTTTTCCAACAGCATTTGCTCACTTGATGTCTCTGTCACATTTTGGTAATTCCCACAATATTTCAAACTTTTTCATTATTATATTTATTTTGGTGATCTGTGATCAGTGAACATTGACATTACTACAACTTGTTGAGGCTCAGAAGATAGCATTTTTTAGTGAAAAGTTTTTTAAATTACTGGCTGTACATTGTTTTGGGGGGCATAGTGCTATTGCACACTTGAGTACAGTATAGTGTAAATATAACTTATGTGCATTGGGAAACCAAAAAATTCATATGATTCACTTTATTGCAGTATTTGTTACTGTGGTGGTCTGGAGGTGAAGCTGTGATATCTCCAAGGTGTGCCCGTATGGTCACTGATGTTTCTGATTAATTATCACTTTGGTCAGCCAGTGACCTGATCAAGATTTCCTTAAATGTCTGACTCCACAAAGGGTCCTGTGTCTTTAAATTTTCCAGTAGATGCTGCTGGGGGAAGCCACTGCTGGTAAAACTGAAGGCAAGTATCTGTACCAGGCCCTCAGGGCATTGCCAGACCAACCAAAACACACTACTCCCAGCTTTTGGAGAACAAGGTCCCACTGCTCGTCCTGGTGTCGCCACCTTTTCCAAGAGCACAGGCTGCTGTTGTCCACATCTGCAACAGGGCTAAATGATGGTAGTTTTTAGCCCATTGTAGTTAGTTTACACCCTCTGCTTACCTAGGAAAGATTAGCAGCTTGCTCCTTCATCAGGCATTCACCTGGTTGATACAAGTGTCTGATGAGGTTCCAGAGTGCCAAAATAGTTGATTCCAGTCTGTTTCCATCTTAATGGTTGCTTTGCTAGAGGGACTGATCCCCTAGAGCTTCCTGCTGTGCCATTTTGCACAATGTCACTACCACCTGTTTTTAAAACATCTTTTGCACCTTTACTTCTTAACCAGTCCTCCCTGCTGGCCTCTATTTTGTAGTTATTAAGCACATATAAAAGAGAGTGTGATGTATTGATGGATTAAAGATGTGACAGTGTAGTAAAAAACGGGTTTTAGAGTCAAACAGATTTGTATTTGCATTCTAACTCTGATTTACCTTGGGTAAATTGGTGAACCTAAGCTTCATCCATCAAATAGCTTTCATGATAATATGAGAGGAGGTATGTAAAAGTGTTAGTAACTGCCAGTATTATACCAACATTAGGTGATACTCCTGTCTTATCATCAGTTGCTAAGCACTTAGTGCCAAATGTCTTATTAGATGCTTTATTGTACATTTCCAGCAACCATTCTGTAAAATAAGTATTTTCTGTTTTTTATAGATGATGAAACTAAAGCTTAGAGAGGTTTTTAACAATTTTCTTGAAATGGAATTAGGAGTCAAACCCAGGGCTGACTCAAGCCCTTGCTTATAACCCTTATTCTACACTGCCTCTGATCTGGGTCACAGTGTCTGATTTTAATGTCTTATTAACTTGTTTTCCTTCTTCAGGAGTCACATGCCATAGGAAAAAAGCCTGAAAATCCAGCAGACATGATTGAAGAAGGAGAGCTTATCCTGTCTGTGAATATCTTGTACCCTGTTATATTTCATAAGGTCAGTAGTAAAACCTTTTGGATTCACAGATAATATGAGTGACTTTTGTCAAAGAATTTAATTATTTGAAGTTTAATTATGTGAACCTTATTTGAACCAAAATAAATGCAAGCATATGCTGTCTCATATGACATTCTGTCTATATTCTTGGGTTCTTGTTTATGTAAGGAATATGGTAAATAAGGTCAGATTTCAAATTATCTCTTGAGTAATAGGATTACAGTTAACACTGTTGGAATGTATACCTGATTTCTGTATTAGTAGCAACTGGAAGGGTATGTAAATCCACAGTGATTCTGAAAATATGAATTCTTGAGGATTGGGGGGGTTTTTTTGCAGAAAAACTGGTGAAGGAAGGGGGGTGGGTCTTTTTTCACCGATTCAAAATTTTTGGGAAGTTATTGAACTAGCTAAAGACAGCTCTTCTTAGATGAAAATGCAGAAAGTTAACAGGTCAGGGGTATCCAGGAATTTCTTAGGAGTCTCTAATAAAGAGAACTCTATCCCAGCCCAGAGTGTATATATTCTTGATTCTCCAAATACATGTATCATAAACTTTGATAAGGTTTCATTGAAATATTACTCTACATAAATTGTACTTGTGAATAGACTTTTATGAATTATCTGGGAAATAGTACTAATTACCTTGTTTGATTAAGATCTCAAATTATCAGTCAAAACAAAACCAATAAAACCAAACCTCTGCATTTATAACATGCGGGTAGTGTATAGATTGCTTGACTTCAATGAGGTAACTTCCAGGAAAATTTAAAAGACAGTGAAGTTATATTCCAAAGGCTCTTCATGTCAATGTCACTTTAGTAGCATCTTGATTTTAAAATTCAGCTTAAACTAAAAAAGTTTTATTGCCAAGTGTATTAGTCCATTCTGGCTGCTATAACAAAATAGCACAGACTGGGTACCTTATAAGCAACAGAAAATTGTTTCTCACAGTTCTAGAGGCTGGAAGTCTAAGGTCAGCATGCCAGCATCTGGTGAGGGTCCTCTTCTGGGTTACATACTTCTTTCTTATAAGGGCACTAATCACATTCATGAGGGTTCCACCCTCATGACCTAATCACCCTCAAAGGCCCCGCCTCCTAACACCATCACATTGGGTCTTAGGATTCCAATGTGTGAATTTTGGACAAACATGAGCAGTCACACCACAGCACCAAGTATCTCAATTGTACTCATAGGATTTTAATTTATGGAGGTGACTGAGTGACAGCACTAGAGGCCAGTGCCATTGAAAGATTTTTATTGTTTACATTTCCTGAGGGGAAAGGGTATGCCACATCACGCAGGGCCACAGGGGGAAGCACCAGTATCAGTTAGGAGGCAAGGGAAAAGCATAGGCCACAGCCTTTATTGGGTTTCCATTGGGAAAGACATGGCAGGGCAGAGTAAACAGTTTAGGGTTGACTATCTTGAATAATTCCAGTGGGCTCTGGACTATCAGGCTGTCCCTAGTTTCTGGTACCTGGCTCTGGATTGACTTAGGACAGGGGAAATATCGGCTTGGTATGTGAGAGTTAGATAAAAGAGATGGTTTTAGAGTATGGGCTCTGGATCACAGGGGAGATGTAAACAACTTTGGCGATTAGTTTGGAGCTATAATTAATCGATGCTGAGTAGACAAATGAAGAATCTAAGAAAACACAGGACACCGTATTATGGGAATAACTTAAAGTAAGAAAACTAGTAACTTAATTTAGATCTGGTCGTGACAGGATTTATAGTTTAATTGCTTTGTCTCTAAGTGAACACTGATTTACTTACTGTCTGACTCATAGCACAAAGAACACAAACCATACCAGACGATGCTGGTATTGGGCAGTCAAAAGCTCACGGAACTGAGGGATTCAATTTGCTGTGTCAGTGACCTCCAGATTGGTGGGGAATTCAGCAACACTCCTGACCAAGCCCCTGAACACATCAGCAAAGTAAGGTGATTTTTTTTTCTAACACTCATAAAACAAGTGGAAATAATAATAAGCTAAGGAAATAGTGATTTTAGGTGAACAGGCTCATAAACATTCTGGTAAATGCTTTCTTCTTCTATGCCATTCCATCAAGCTTATCTCTTCCCTTCTATTTTTTTTTAAATTTATTTATTGATTGATTTTTGGCTGTGTTGGGTCTTCATTGCTACGTGCAGGCTTTTTCCAGTTATGGCGAGCGGGCGCCACTCTTCATTGCAGTGTGCGGGCTTCTCATTGCGGTGGCTTCTCTTTTGTTGCTTTGCATGGGCTCTAGGCGCATGGACTTCAGTAGTTGTGGCACGTGGGCTCAGTAGTTGTGGCTTGTGGGCTCTAGAGTGCAGGCTCAGTAGTTGTGCCGCATGGGCTTATTTGCTCTGTGGCATGTGGGATCTTCCTGGACTAGGGCTCGAACCTGTGTCCCCTGCATTGGTGGGTGGATTCTTAACCACTGTGTCACCAGGGAAGTCCCTCTTCCCTTCTTTTTGTCATCAAGACCTTTTTAAAGATGAGGCTATATTCAGTTTTGATTTCTTCATTTCCCATTTATTTCTCAACCGTTTTCTGTACACTCTTCTTTCTAAGGTCATAGGCCACCTAATTGTTTAACCAGTAGGTCTCTATTCCATGTTCATACACATTGACCTCACTGTAGCACTGGAATTTGCTGTTCACTCTTCTCTTTCAAACTCTATGAGTTTGTCTGTCATAACTGCCCCCAGCAAAGCATTGGAGTCCACCCAGGAGCATCATTGCCCATAGAAGAACCTGTTAGTTCAAGGATCGAAGCAAACAGGGACATAATATCTGGTGATGATCCTTGCTGGTGTTTCCCAGGGTGCTGCTCTCAAAAGGACAGAGAAACCCTGCATACTCATTGGATCAGGATGGAAAGGACCCAAGTGGCAGACTGGCCACCTACAGTTTCCAGAAGGGATTGCTTACTCAATAACAGTAGGGCCTTGATCCTACTGAATTTCATCATAGAGCAAGCTTGACCTAATTCTGTTACCTGGTACAACTCTGGCAGAGGACCTCAGATTTACTGGCATACTTAAGATGGGCAGCATCTCCTGTAGATCACTAAGAAGATGTTTGGAACAACTAGAATGGAGATAAGAGTTTGGACAAGAACCATCACAATCTCTTCTTTTTGCTCATTCCTTTATCACCAGCCATATAGATGTTGTTATAACTTAGGTTTCATCTTAATTCTTTTTTTTTTTTTAAATAAATGCAGGATCAGCCTTTTTTTTTTTTTTATAAATTTCATTTATTTATTTTGGCTGCACTGGGTCTTCGTTGCTGCACGCGTGTTTTCTCTAGTTGCAGCGAGCGGGGGCTACTCTTTGTTGTGGTGCGTGGGCGTCTCATTGTGGTGGCTTCTTTTGTTGCGGAGCACAGGCTCTAGGCACACAGACTTCGGTAGTTGTGGCTCGCGGGCTGTAGAACGCAGGGTCAGTAGTTGTGGCTCATGGGCTTAGTTGCTCCGTGGCATAGGGGATCTTCCCGGACCAGGGCTCGAACCCGTGTCCCTTGCATTGGCAGGTGGATTCTTAACCACTGCGCCATCAGGGAAGCCCCATCTTAATTCTTATTCTAAATTGTTCTTCTGGGCTTTCCCCGCAGTTTTCATGGTTTTAAGTATACTCCAATCTTTGTAAATCTCTTTCTCTCTTGGTTTCCAAACCCATTATTTGTAAGCGTCAGTGGGCATTCTCACTTAGCCTCAGTGCTGCCCGGCATTTTTACCACCTCTCTATAGTCGATACACTCTGCCACTTTTCAAGGTAACTGTTTTATTCCTTCTGAAACTGCCAACATCCTTTCCTTGTGGCTTACCTTCAGCTGAAAACCTTGCTGTTAATTTCACTGAGAAAATAAGTTATCAGAAAAGAATTTTCCATTGTCTTTTACCCACATTTACCCATTTGCCCATGCATTCTGCCTTCGCACCTGTTACAATGGATGGGCTAAACCTGCTGCTATCAAAAGCCAATCTAGGTGTCTACTGGATTCCATCCGCCATTGCATAACCAAGGACTTTGTTCTTGTATTTATCCCCTCTCTTCCCTGCATCATCAGTTTTTTCCATTCTGTTGGCTGTCCCATCAGTACACAAGTGGGCTGTAATATCTCCCCTCTCCCATTCTAAACCTCTTCTTGACCCTGTATCTTCCTCTAGCTACCATCTCATCTTTCTGCTTTCTTCTCAGTAAAGCTGTCTCAAGAGTTAATGAGTTAATAATAAGAAGAATTAATAATAGTACCTCAATTCATTGTTTCTCTTTTTCTCCCCCCACTTTGTCTTACACTCACTTTTATTCATCACCACTCCACCAAAATCACTTTACTGATGCCACCATAGACTTAGTTCTCATCTGATTTGACCTCTCATCAGCACATGACACAATTGAATATTCCTTCTTACTTGAAACACTTTCTTTACTTGGCTTTTAAGATGTTACACCCACCGGGACTTCCCTGGTGGTGCATTGATTAAGAATCTGCCTGCCGATGCAGGGGACACGGGTTCGATCCCTGGTCCGGGAAGATCCCACATTCCGCGGAGCACCTAAACCCGTGTGCCACAACTACTGAAGCCTGCGCTCTAGGGCCCGTGAGCCACAACTACTGAGCCCATGTGCCACAACTACTGAAGTCCATTGACCTAGAGCCCATGCTCCGCGACAAGAGAAGCCACTGCAACGAGAAGGCTGCGCACTGCAACGAAGGGTAGCCCCCACTCACAACAGCTAGAGAAAGCCTGTGCGCAGCAAGGAAGACCCAATGCAGCCAAAAATAAATAAATTTATTTATTTAGAAAAAAAGATGTTACACCCACCTAATTTTCTTCCTGTCTGACTTCTAATTCTTCTGTTGGATGTTTCTCATCCTCGTGACTTGTAAATGTTATTAAGCCCTTTGAATCAATCTTCAGACCTCTCCTCTGTGTATACTCCCTAGGCGATCTCATCCAGATTCCTAGCCCAGATTTTTATCTCCAATCCCAACATCGTCTCTGAACTCCAGACTTATTTTTTCTAACTGCCTCCTTGACAATTACTGAATGTCTAATAGCCATTTCAAACTTAATTTGTTCAAAAACAGACTCTAGTTCTCTCTTCTTCCTCAAATCTGTACTTTCCCCAGTGTTCCCATCTCAGTAAATACACTCATTCTACACCTGGTGACTTAGCTAAAAACCTTGGAATCATCTTTGCTTCCTTTTCATCCCATATTGAAGGCATCAGCAAGTGCTTTGGCTCTACTTTCAAATTATATTTAGGATCTGCCCATGTCTTTGCTCCTTCACAGGTACCAGGCTGGTTAAATCACCATCATCTCTTGCCTGGACTCTTGCAGTAGCCTAGTGACTGTTCCTCCTGCTCCTTTCCACACTTCTGTTTATCCTTTGTACCAGCCAGATGATACTGTAAAGTATCAGTCAGATCCCGTTGCTTTTCAGCTTGAAAGTCTGTAGTGGCTTTCTCTCATATCTAGAATAAAATACAAAGTCCTTACCGTGGTCCATTATCTGGTCCTGTCTGCCTCCCAACTTCATATCCTATCACCCTCTTTGTCACTTGTTGCCTTCGAACAACCTGCCATTCTTGCTCTTTCTCATGTATGCTAAGCAGGGTCCTGCTCAGAGCCTTTGTATCTTATGTTCCCTCACCCTGGAGTGTTCTTCACCAGGTATTCAGATGGCTCACTCCCTCATTTCTTCTTCTTTGAGATGTTGCCTCGACAGAGAGGTCTTTCCCTGTATTAGTATTCTCTTCCCCTGACATGCTAATAACACTCATCACTACCTAACATCATGTTATATATTTATCTGTCTTGCTTCCCTTGAATCATGAGGGCAGGGACTGTGTTTTGTTCAGTGATGTATTCCTGTGATGATGTCTGACACAGAGGAAGTGCCCAAGTCTTTGCTGAATAAATGAACCCAGATACCTCAAGCTCAATTAGTCTTAAACTCATTATTCTACCATCTCCCTTTTTCTTCAGATGAAACTCTCCCTTTCCGTTGCTGTTTATCCTGCCATAATAGTTCCAGACTCTTTATTTCCACTGCTGTATGCTTTAGTTTGGGCCCTCAGCATCTTCTCCTGGAACTGTTACAGAGAGTTCTTAACTGGTTTTCCCCACCTTTAGATTGTCCCATACCTGCCACCGAAGATGTCTTTCAAAAACAAATCGAACACCAGGAGTGAACTGTAAAGTAAGCTGTGGACTTTGGGTGATTATGATGTGTCAGTTTAGGTTCCTTCTTGGTAGCAAATGTACCACTCTGGTGAGTGGTGTTGATAATGGGCTGGTTGTGCGTGTGGGGTGGGTAGCGGGTGTAGGGGAGGCCTCTGTACCTCCCTATTTTATGATAAACGTAAAACTGCTCTAAAAGAATAAATCCATTCTTCTTGAAAACTTTTTTTTTTTAATTGATCCTCATTCTCCAGTCTAAAAGTCTTAGTGGTTCTCTGTTGCCTGTGGTCCAAGCTCCTTAGGCTGACATATAAGGCCTTTTGCAATGGTGATTCTCAAGTTAACTTTCTATATTGTTCACCACCTGTTTTTACACCTTATCTTTCAGCCACAATGAATTTATCTGGCTCAAGCGTACCATACTTTTTTATGCCTCTGAGTGTTTGAACATGGGTGGGAAGCCCTTTCCCTCACTTATTATATGAGATTCTTCTTGACTGTCCTCTGTTTGCCACTCTGGCCCCATTTCGTTTGTCCATTATAGTGCTTTATAATTAGTATGCTGATACTATTTGATATGTTTGTCTGCCCCACAAGGCTGGCTGTATTCCAGTCTCTTGGGTGACTGGCATGGAGACCAGCATAGTTTTTGAGTTATATTGAAAGTGGTTTTAAGATATTTGTGTTCTTCAGGTTTGCCAGCTTGGCGCTTTTGAAGGTAAACATTAAAGAGAAACAAGTGGAATCTCAAGGCTGTATGCACACCAGGAAATAGATTTATCTTTTAAAGGAGAAGCAGTCTTCTGCAAAGTTTCTCCACTCTGGGGGAAAAAAGAATAACAAGGTGTAGCTATAAGTTTATAAGATCAATTTAAGAAGAAAAATCTGAATTCACCCTCCTTATTCTAACCATGTCATGACTGCTCACAGCGGTGAGTCAGATCTGGGAATCAGTCTTAGCTCCAGGAATCCTGGAGAGTGTTTTTAACCAGACTTGTTTAGTTTATTGTGTTTGTACATCAGTGCTCATGCCTTCAGCATCTTTCTAAGCAGGGGACTAAATGACCCATAGTCCTATTTATCCATCTGCTGTTTCATTGTTTCTGCCTCTTCCATGTATTAAAATAATATCCTCTGATTATTTAGCGCTTATCGTATGCCAGTTGTATAGTACACTAGTTGATAGTACAGTATCTTTGGAAAGAAGTATCACCATTTTACAGGTAAGAAAAAGATGGGTCAGAGCATCGTCATGAGTTACCTGTGTTTAGTAAGCAGTGGTAGAGGCTGGATTCAGACCATTGCCAGCTTGCCTTCAAAGCCCCACGTTCTTTCTTTGCCATGTTGGTACTATGCCTGGCTTTAGACATCTTTCCCAACACTTTTATTTATTTGGTGAACAAGCACTGAGTGAAAACCTGAGCTGTGCTGTGATTAACGGCAAGATTCTAGTACATGGGCTTTGTGGAATCTGCCTGTTCAGGGACCTGTTTCATTTGCCTCCTTTTTCTAAGCTATGTTTTAGAAAGGTGAACTCATAGTTGTTTGGCATGTGGAAAGATTTTTATTTCAATGATTGGCATTTGTATTTTACAGTGTTTTTTTTTAAAAAAAAAGTTTTGCCTTGGAAAATTTTAAACATACACACGTAAAAGAGAATAGTATAAGGAGCCCTTATGTACCCATTACAGTTCTCAGCATTTTGCCAGAATTATTTCATCTGTTTACCCCATGCCATTGTTACACCTAACAAACTGAAAATAGGTCCTTAAGTTATAATGGTTTTTTTTGGACAGGGAGATATTTGGCATGTATTTCACTGGTAATCATGGAACAAATTAGTGACTTGCAGCTCTTGTAGCTGAGGAAATGATAATCTTGTTTCTGGCCAATAAACAAGATTTGAACAAAATACTTTCTTTGATGAATTTGGTGTGTGAGAGGACTAAGAGAATTGGGCCAGTGTATTTAAATCTCTTTGAAAAGCCATGTCTAAAATAATGTTTTGCTCATGTTTGTTTTAGACTATAGTAGTTCAAGAATGAAGTACACTTTTAAAATATATGTATAAAATCAGTGTCAGTATTTTCTGCTCAGGTTTGTTTTTGTTTGTTTGTTTTAATGGTCCTTCAGGTTTTAATGTCTGATCTATCAGTCTTTTTAACATAGCTCAGATTAGTCAATCTCTTTTTGTCAGTAGTCTCTTAAGGGTCTTACTTAGAGGAACTCTGAGAAAATACTTTACACACACATTATTGTTACTTATTATAAGTAAAGCCTGGGTATAGGAAAAATGGTAACATAAATTTAAGTTGTAAAAATTTTCTTACCCAGCCTTCTCTGACACTTCTTTTCCCCCATTAATATTTTTCTCACAGCAAATCTTAGGAATGTTGCTGAGCTTCTAACGCAGCTGACTTGAATGATAGCAAGAAAGTACATGATTATTAGCTGCTTAAAATGACATATAGATAATGACTTTGTTCAAATGATCATACTAGTTATCCATAGCTACTTTGTTTATAAATTTGAAATAGTAACAGGTAGACCTTTAGGTTACATTAGATTAATAACAGAAGTAACTTGTTATACTGTTTTTCCAAGTCAGTTGGTTATTTCCCTCCCTTGCAACTTGGTCAGCTAAACTAGCTGACAAATAGGGAAACTAGTTAGTTGAGGATCTCTGGTTACCATTGAAAATGAAAATTAACTGATAGTGAGATTACTCACATCTTCTTTTCTAGCCATTTATATAATGACATAATAAAAAGATATAATGAAAAGATTGTTCTTTTAGAGACCCCATTCTAATTAATAATTACACCAAAGGTTTTAAACTGCCTGAATCACTTAAGATGAAGTTCAATATGAACATATTTTTATATACACTAAACTTTGTTTCCAAAATAAGGCAGTAGTGATTGTTTCAGAATCTTTATTTTGGACCTACCTGTTTGAAGGTTTAGAAGTATAGTAAGTGGTGTATTTTGTGTTACAGCAGCCAGGCATGGCATTATAGTACGTTATATCCTTTCACCTCTGCAACCACATGGGAAGAACGTATTGGCTTTACTCAGATTTTACACGGGGAAACAGAGGGTCAGGAGATTCAGTTGAGTAGTCTGAGAAGAAATAGCATAGCCAGTCTTAGAAGGGTGTCTGATGCCAGTGCCAGGTGTCTGTAAGTGGGGGAATGAAGAAAAATAAGAAAGAAAAATCGAAGCTTCGAAGGAGAGAAACTAGGCTGTCTTAGGGTGATATTATTTTAATGCCTGAAACTTATATATCTTTTATAGTTCATAAACTGCTTTTGATTCTCACCACAATCCTGTAAGATAGGATAGCATGGCAGGTACTGTACAGGTGAGGAAACTGAGGTCTGAGGAGTAAGTGTAGGAAAAAGACATAAGTCTCCTGACTCTCACCCAGGGGTCTAATTCTAAGCAAATGGTGAAGGACGAGTCTAACAGAGTGGTTCTTAGCGCTGGTTGCACATCTGAATCTCCTGAGGGGGTTGGGAAAATATTGGTGCCTGAGCCACATCATCAGAGATTCTCACTTAATGGATCTGAGGTGAGACTTGGTCTGTGGTATTTTTATGATTCTGTTATAAGGTCAGGATTAAGAGACCACCCCTCTGATGGAAGGTCTGGTAGTCTGAAAGTTGAAACCTGAGGGTTCTATGGTACTTTGGGCAAGATTGCTTGAATAAGAATAGATATTCACATTCTGCCTGCCTAAGAGTTACTGAAAATATAAAGGGGAAATTTTTATAAAAGCCCATTGAAAATACAAAAAAGGACAGAACAACATAGCTCCATGATCATTGTCATTAACACTGGGGAAGCATCAAAGATGTGGCTTTGTTTAGTTTTTAGTTCTGGTATCCAAAATAACTGTCACTGCCGTGTATGCATATAATAAAATAATATTAAAGTTTATTTCATTTCTAATTGGGTTCCTTTCATGAATCTCAAGACAATATACAAATTTAAATCAAACCTAGTGATTAAAACTACAAAAGGGTAAAATTGAAAATAGCAGCAAGGATTGTGTCTTTATATCTTTATCCCTGGTAACCAACATAATACTTCCCACATAGGACGTTCCTGTTGAATAATAAATTAATGAACTGAACATATTCTATGAAGTTGCATGACGTTATTGTAAAACATATTAGCGTGATTTTATGACACACAAATGTGGAATTAATACTTAGAGCAATTTTATAATTGTTAATACTGTACTTTCTCTCAATACCGTCTGTTTTCTTTCAGGACCTATATAAATCAGCCTTCTTTTATTTTGAAGGAACATTTTACAATGATAAAAGATACCCTGAATGCAGAGATTTGAGCAGGTATAACTTTCCAAAAATCCTAAAGTCTTTCCTGTTTCTCGTTGTCAAAAGAGGGTTATCACCACAAATTCTATTATTGGTCTCTTAAGAATCTTTGCCAAGGAATTATTTTGTTAGATTGTTTTTTGTTTGTTTTGGGGTTAAAAAGTATCTCTGAATTTTTAAAATATTTTCAAAGTTATCTGGTTGGCCTAGGTTATAGTAAGTTAATCAAATTTTTACCCCAAGAAGAAAATTTTCTTACCAAAGACATACATAGACCATTTCAAGATCTTTGCCAGCTATCTAGGATTATTTTTTAAATGTATTATCTGCTGTTTCAGAAATTATAGTAAATCTTGTGTTGAGCCTTAGATACATCTGAAAAAAAAAGATTAAATCCCACTTAAACACTTTATTAATCTCTGTTCTTCATGTTTAGGTGATAGTAAATTAATCTTTCACTATTTTTTCTGCTTGTCCAGTGTATACTGTTTGGAGTGGATATGTGTATGTAAGATTGCTTATGTACATAACATGAAAAATCTATGTCTGACATCATGTTATCTACATAAAAGTATTACCATACTTTTATTATTGGTATCCTGGCAAATAGAGTATATATGTATATTTTTTCTGAGTGTTTATGTAAACTCTTTCATTATAGCCATTTGTATCTATATTCTAATGCAGCAGTTCTCAGACTTGGTCTCCGTACTCCTTTATACTGTAAATAGTTGACTCCAAAGAGCTTTTGTTTATGTGGGTTATAGCTGTAAGTATTCACTGTTTTAGAAATTGAAACTAAGAAATACTTTATTAACTAATTTAGATTGTCCAGTTACAGTTACCATTAATAACAATTTTGTGAAAAATAACTTTTCCAGAACAAAATAAAATAGTAAGAAGAGTGACGTTATACATTTTCCATTCAATCTGAAGTGATAACACACATCACATAGCCTCCAGAAAACTAGCGTTTATGAGAGAATAAGAATTGAAAAGAGTTTTAAGATTACCGTAAAGATAATTTTGACCTCACAAACCTCTGTGGGAGTCTCAGGACCTTACTTTGAGAACTGCTGCTCTATTGGATACAGAAAATTTCAGAGTTCCTTCCTACTTGCAACATATATCATCCACTCTGGTTTTCATTTCAAGTTGGTATCTGTCCAGTTAATTTGGTGAGCTGGCTTTTGTGAAATATGCAGTTGCAAACCGCTTGGAGCAGTGATACATCCTTTCCGTTTTCCTCCTCAGAACCATCATTGAGTGGTCAGAGTCCCATGATAGAGGCTATGGAAAGTTTCAGACTGCTAAGATGGAAGATTTCACCTTCAATGACTTGTGTATTAAACTGGGTTTTCCTTACTTATACTGTCACCAGGGAGACTGTGAACACATTGTTGTCATTACTGATATAAGGTAAGTGGTAGAACTCAGAACATTTTGTTATTTGTCCTGTTTTCCTTTTCTTTATTTCACAGTATAAAAGCACAGGTAGTTTTGTTTGTTTGAAACAAGAAGAATAAAAGTAATCACTGCAGCTTCGTTCAGGACCAGCAAAAATAACTGCTTGCTATGCAGCGACCAACTCTGCATCCATTTGCATCTTCTATTGTTTGTCTTTTGGAAAATCTGTAATAATTACTTTAGTGACTAACCAGTGTGAGCCATTTGTAATGGTAGAATATGCCAAAAATCAAGAAAAATAACTGAAGCTTCTCCTTTGCCCGAGGACAGTGTATGACTTCTGTGAGTCTCCATGGGCCCCTTCCTCCATTAAAAAATATTAAAAATTATATTTTATGACAGTGCTGGTATAAAGACAAACAATACAAGCTGGATTTTTATTATAAAAAAAGAAATACTTTACTGTTTATTAAAGGGTTAAAAATCTGTAAATAAAGGTAAGTATCTTTGTATATTGGACAGCTATTATTCAGGTAATAGTCATCCACTTTGTATATCAGTTAGGCCCTTTGCTTTGCAAATCTGCAGCTATATTTCTAGGTTTCTTTTTTTGCCAAAACTTGGAGGTAAAAGGTAACTGGGGGAAGAGAAGAGTAATTCTAATATTTGACAAATATGAAGGCATTAATGCTTTGATAAAGATTTAGAGTGGTCAGGAATGAAATAGTCTAAAATGAGATTTAGGGATTAGTTATAAATTTTGTATAGCTGGTACCTCTAATGAATAAGGCTATTCATTTCCTTATTTAGGAAATCTCAATTTATGAAGAACCATTATATAGGAATAAGCCCTGCTCTATCCTTGGCTTGATTTCTTCTGAGAGACGATTCACATTTTTTTATGGAGCAATGATATACTCATTCTGATGGCTGTAGAAAGTCCCTGCTTCCACTTTTTTGGGGTTTTAGTGACTGGTCTCTAAAAATTTACCTCCCATGCCCTCATTCTCAGGAAGCTACCAGAAGTACTTTACACAAAGAGTAAACCTTGAAAAAAGAAAACATGGAATGCAAAGCAGAATAGATAAGACATAAAAGGAACTCTCAGAATGATGGGAAAGCGAACTTCCAGAATGATGGCTGTAGAACAGACCTAGAGAACAGCGTAGTCCAGAGATTGGAGCAGGACAGGGGACAAAGGAAGCATGTCCTGAGACTGCTAGACCTCCCATTGGTGTGTAGCCCATTTGGAAAGCATGTTTACCATTCTGTCAGCAAATAGGGAACTGAATTAGTGACAGGTACACTGAAACCTAAGCGAATGCAAATGAGAGAATTAGTAGCTAGAAAACAAAAGTGTTACACAGTAAAATGAACCTATAGTCAATTCTGTGGTTTAGGGGAATGTTTAACTCATTTGTCATAATTTAAACATTAAATATCTAGTTAACCAAAGTTTCGTAGTTCTGCAGAGGGATGTTGAGGAGCTAAATTAAAAAGAGGCAGTTAGGGCTTCCCTGGTGGCGCAGTGGTTGAGAGTCCGCCTGCCGATGCAGGGGACACAGGTTCGTGCCCCGGTCCGGGAAGATCCCACATGCCGCGGAGTGGCTGGGCCCGTGAGCCATGGCCGCTGAGTCTGTGCGTCCAGAGCCTGTGCTCCGCAACGGGAGAGGCCACAACAGTGAGAGGCCCACGTATGGCAAAAAAAAAAAAAAAAAAGAGGCAGTTAAAAGAATGGAAAACAGTTGCCTCTAGGGAAGAATTAATGAAGCAAGAGCCAGGAGAGCTCATAAACCTCATAGATTTATATGACTTAAAATTATATGGGTTTACTTCTTTGATAAAGTGTTCTTTAAGTTTTTATAAAATGTTCTGCTTGCTCTTCACTCAAATGAGGGGGAGTGTGTCTCAGTATAAGCATAAGACGGAAGACAGTCAACTTTTTTCTGGTGATCTGAGTTTCCTTACATTTCTTACAGTGTAAGGCATATTGCTGTAGTGTCATTGCTTAAATTCAAGGCAACTTGGAAAAACAATTTACACTTGTTAAGCATGTGCACTGTAGGACTTTCCTAAGGAGTTTTTTAATGTAACTGACTGCAGGTAATTTTTATCTTACAGGAAGATTTAATCATTCAGTGCCATTCCATAGTTTAATAGTTGGTAAATTATTAAAAGTTTATTAATCATTTTCTGATGGTGAAGTTAGTGTATTGCTATCCTTTCTTACTAAAAAAAAAGAAAAATCAAATTTTATAATTATCAGGGGCCTTTAAAATACTGTTGTGCATTCCATTCATTTTTCAGATGAAGAATCTGGGGTCCAGCATGGTTAATGGATTTATCCAAACCCACTAAGCTGATTAGTGGCATAGTGAGAACTGACTCCCACTTAAAATTTCTGAATTCTGACACCTAAAACTAAAGTCCTACCAGTTCACATTATAACAGAAGCCAGATTTGGATTTTAATGAGAGCTCTTTTAATAAAAAAAGAGCCATGTTTGTAACACAAAACCACTTAATCTGGGTAAAATAATACTGAGTACACTTGCTCAGACTGTGTACTACGTGTTGAGCACAGCAAGGATTCTCTGAAGGAATACATTCAAGAAATGCTGCCTACAGTATTTCCCTCTTAAGAGTCATAGTGCACGTGGCCATAAAGGGATTTGGGAAGTTTCACAGGAAAGAAAACATTGTTTAATCCCAAATGCTCTTTTGGAGAAAGTGTTTTGTGGAACACACTAAATTGAAAAATATACCTACTGTGTTCTTAATTTTGAGGTAAGGATATATTTCATTACGGATCACAAAAATTTGCACTACAATGTCATTTATTTTTTCATGTACAAAAGGCTTGTGCATCATAATGACTGCCTGGATAGGACACTCTATCCCCTTCTTATCAAGAAGCATTGGCTCTGGACCAGAAAATGTTTTGTTTGTAAAATGTACACAGCTAGGTAAGTGACTCTGTTTTTTTCCTGGAAAAGTATTGGTTTTTAACAGTCAAGTACTTAAGATTTTTGGTATTTCAGTTTTTTTCTGTTTTGAATTGAGGATTTACACTCCGGAATATAAATAATATAAAGGGTTTTATCTAGTAGGAAAGCAGTACAAACAGTAGTACAAATCAGTTTAGTAGGTTAGAGCCATGTTTTAGACAATAAGGAATTATGTAGAATGGAAGTCTAGGGATTAGGTCAAACTTTAGTTTGGTTGATAATTTATGCTGGATGATGTATGTCATCAGGGAGCCATATTCCTTCTGCCTCTTGTTAGCAGTTTACAAAATTGGCTTCATCCACAGCTTCTCGATGATAAAAATAACACTGCATCTCATTTTTAATGAGGTCAAAATAAAGTTGCATAAAATTTTGTGGTTTTGCATGTTTAGATTTTATTTAACTGTGGCTCAGAGTCAAAAGCCATTTAGACGAAAAGGGAAGAATTTAGTGTCATAAGTTTGTTTTGGGTTCCCCACCACAATGTTTTTTTTTTTTAAACATCTTTATTGGAGTATAATTGCTTTACAGTGGTGTGTTAGTTTCTGCTGTATAACAAACTGAATCAGCTATATGTATATATATATCCCCATATCTCCTCCCTCTTGCGTCTCCCTCCCACCCTCCCTATCGCACCCCTCTAGGTGGTCACAAAGCACCGAGCTGGTCTCCCTGGGCTATGCAGCTGCTTCCCACTAGCTAGCTATTTTACATTTGTTAGTGTATATATATGTCCAGGCCACTCTCTTAACTTTGTCCCAGCTTACCCTTCCCCCTTCCCTTGTCCTCAAGTCCATTCTCTACATCTGTGTCTTTATTCCTGTCCTGCCCCTAGGTTCTTCAGAACCTTTTTTTTTTTTTTTTTTTAGATTCCATATATATGTGTTAGCATACGGTATTTGTTTTTCTCTTTCTTAGTTCACTCTGTATGACAGACTCTAGGTCCATCCACCTCACTACGAATAATTCAGTTTCGTTTCTTTTTATGGCTGAGTAATATTCCATGTATATATGTGCCACATCTTTATCCGTTCATCTGTCGATGGACACTTAGGCTGCTTCCATGTCCTGGCTATTGTAAATAGAGCTGCAGTGAACATTGTGGTACATGATGCTTTTTGAATTATGGTTTTCTCAGGGTCTGTGCTCAGTTGTGGGATTGCTTGGTGGTATGGTAGTTCTGTTTTTAGTTTTTTAAGGAACCTCCATAGTGTTCTCCATAGTGGCTGAATCAATTTACATTCCCACCAACAGTGCAAGAGGGTTCCCTTTTCTCCACACCCCCTCCAGCATTTGTTGTGTGTAGATTTTTTGATGATGGCCGTTCTGACCGATGTGAGGTGATACCTCATTGTAGTTTTGATTTGCAATTCTCTAGTGATTAGTGACCTTGAGCATCCTTTCATGTGTTTGTTGGCTATCTGTATACCTTCTTTGGAAAAATGTCTATTAGGTCTTCTGCCCACTTTTGGATTGGTTTTTTTTTTTTATATTGAGCTGCATGAGCTGCTTGTAAATTTTGGAGATTAATCCTTTGTCAGTTGCTTCCTTTGCAAATATTTTCTCCCATTCTGAGGGTTCTCTTTTCGTCTTGTTTATGGTTTCCTTTGCTGTGCAAAAGCTTTTAAGTTTCATTAGGTCCCATTTGTTTATTTTTGTTTTTATCTCCATTTCTCTAGGAGGTGGGTCAAAAAGAATCTTGCTGTGATTCATGTCATAGAACCCCCCGCCTATGTTTTCCTCTAAGAGTTTGATAGTGTCTGGCCTTACATTTAGGTCTTTAACCCATTTTGAGTTTATTTTTGTGTATGGTGTTAGGGAGTGTTCTAATTTCATTCTTTCACATGTAGCTGTCCAGTTTTCCCAGCACCACTCATTGAAGAGGCTGTCTTTTCTCCATTGTATGTTCTTGCCTCCTTTATCAAAAATAAGGTGACCATATGTGCATAGGTTTATCTCTGGGCTTTCTATTCTTTTCCATTGATCTGTATTTCTGTTCTTGTGCCAGTACCATACTGTCTTGATAACTGTAGCTTTGTAGTATAGTCTGAAGTCTGGGAGCCTGATTCCTCCAGCTCCGTTTTTCTTTCTCGAGATTGCTTTGGCTGTTCGGGGTCTTTTGTGTTTCCATACAAATTGTTAAATATTTTGTTCTAGTTCTGTGAAAAATGCCATTGGTAGTTTGATAGGGATTGCATTGAATGTGTAGATTGCTTTGGGTAGTATAGTCATTTTCACAATGTTGATTCTTCCAGTCCAAGAACATGGTATATTGCTCCATCTGTTTGTATCATCTTAATTTCTTTCATCATTGTCTTAGTTTTCTGCATACACGTCTTCTGTCTCCTTAGGTAGGTTTATTCCTAGGTATTTTATTCTTCTTGTTGCAGTGGTAAATGGGAGTGTTTCCTTAGTTTCTCTTTCAGATTTTTCCATCATTAGTATAAAGGAATGCAAGAGATTTCTGTGCATTAATTTTGTATCCTGCAACTTTACCAAATTCATTGATTAGCTCTAGTAGTTTTCTGGTAGCATCTTTAGGATTCTCTATATATAGTATCATGTCATCTGCAAACAGTGACAGCTTTACTTCTTCTTTTCCGATTTGGATTCCTTTTATTTCTTTTTCTTCTCTGATTGCTGTGGCTAAAACTTCCAAAATTATGTTGAATAATAGTGGTGAGAGTGGGCAACCTTGTCTTGTTCCTGATTTTAGTGGAAATGGTTTCAGTTTTTCACCATTGAGGACGATGTTGGCTGTGGGGTTTATCATATATGGCCTTTATTATGTTGAGGTAAGTTCCCTCTATGCCTCCTTTCTGGAGGGTTTTTATTATAAATAGGTGTTGAATTTTGTTGAAAGCTTTCTCTGCATCTATTGAGATGATCGTATGGGTTTCATCCTTCAGTTTGTTAATATGGTGTATCACATTGATTGATTTGCGTATATTCACAATATGCTTTTCTAAATTATCAATAGGAAAACATAAATCAGTTACCAGATCAAAATGGAAATCAGGGGATGTCAAAACATTCCATGGGATGCCGAATTCAGATAGACTGAAAAATATCATTTTCACTTAATGTGACATTTCAGGTCAAAAACCAAAATCTCATTTGAATAATGTTGCCCATAGTCCCATTTGTATACACTCTGTAACATTTTAATTCTAAATTCTAGGTTAAAAACCTGGAGTTTTTACAATGAGTTATCATCTCACACCAGTCAGAATGGCCATCATCAAAAAATCTACAGACAATAAATGCTGGATAGGGTGCAGAGAAAAGGGAACCCTCTTGCACTCTTGGTGGGAATGTAAATTGATACAGCCACTATGGGAACAGTATGGAGGTTCCTTAAAAAACTAAAAACAGAACTACCATACGACCCAGCAATCCTACTGGGCATATACCCTGAGAAAACCATAATTCAGAAAGAGACATGTACCACAATGTTCACTGCAGCACTATTTACAATAGCCAGGACATGGAAGCAACCTAAGTGCCCATCGACAATGAATGGATAAAGAAGATGTGGCACATACATACAATGGAATATTACTCAGCCATTAAAAGAAACGAAATTTATTTGTAGTGAGGTGGATGGACCTACAGTCTGACATACAGAGTGAACTAAGTTAGAAAGAGAAAAACAAATACCGTATGCTAACACATATATATGGAAACTAAGAAAAAAAATGGTTCTGAAGAACCTAGGGGCAGGACAGGAATAAAGACACAGACATAGAGAATGGACTTGAGGACACAGGGAGGGGGAAGGGTAAGCTGGGACAAAGAGAGTGGCATTGATTTGTACCAAATGTAAAATAGATAGCTAGTGGGAAGCAGCTGCATAGCCCAGGGAGATCAGCTGGGTGCTTTGTGACCACCTAGAGGGGTGAAATAGGGAGGGTGCGAGGGAGACCCAAGAGGGAGGGGATATGGGGATATATGTATATGCATAGCGGCTTCACTTTGTTATTCAGCAGAAACTAACACACCATTGTAAAGCAATTATACTCCAATAAAGATGTTAAAAAAAATAAAAGCTGGAGTTTTCAAGCTAACCAGTACTAATTTACCAGTTAGAAAGATTAAGCAAAAAGTTTTATCAAACCTGTAGTATATCTAATATTATGCATTTTCAAGATGGCCTATTAGAAGAAAACATTTGTGTTTATGTTAACAGTTATTTGAAGGATAGGTATGTCATGGCAAGTATGTGATGCTTTTAAGTATGGATTTACATTCTTTTCCACTTACCTTTAAGGAGAAGTCTTTCAGGACACAGTTGTCCTTTTGCCTTGTAGGGTATTGGTAGCGATATGTCTGTATGTATACATGTGTATACAAAATTATATAAAGGATTATATAAATAAGCAAAAATAAGGCAATAGTGGGAATATTATATATACATATTATTACAGGTCATAACTACTGCAGCATATTAAAGCATGAAAAAGTCGATTATAATAATATACACCTTTTTTAATACAGATGGGTGACGAACAATGACAGTTTTGCACCAGAGGACCCATGTTTCTTTTGTGATGTTTGCTTCCGAATGCTCCACTATGATTCAGAAGGCAACAAACTGGGGGAATTCCTCGCTTATCCTTATGTTGATCCTGGAACCTTTAGTTAATATCAAAATGTGTACCCTTTACTTCGAAGAAATGCCGCGAGGAGCAGGATCTACCTGAAACCATCAGCTGAAGTTACCACCCCAGCAAAGAAAGTTCAAATCACAGGTCTTCTTATTAAGCAACTTGAATGTATTTAAATGTTTTGGAATATATTAAATTATTTTAATATTCCAAAGTATAGTTTTTATTCAGTGCTTTTTTGCCCATTTTTGAGTTGTCTAATTGATTTGTAGGAGTGCTTTATGTATCCTGAGTACAAATCCTTTGTCAGATACAAGTATTCTGGTTTTCTCCCAGTCTTTAGTATGCCTATTCACTCTTTGTCCAGAGGGCTTTTTGCTCATCTGTCATTATACATCAAGTGATGGAAGTGTTTTGAAAATTCTTTGAAGAATGTGAGCGCTAAACCTTGTACCATGAGGCTTCCAAGGTAAAGATCCTCCAAATATCTGTAATAAAAATGAGGGAGAAGTTAATAAAAGCAGATTATTTAATCAATACAATATTAAGAGTAGCTATTGTGTAATTTAATCTTACACTGAGCGCTTTTGTAATGTTAGGTTTTGTTTTGGTAGAAACTAGGCACATTTAACACTTCAGAAAGACTCACTACACGAATAATGAATGTATAAAGATCTTGAGTATACACTCATACCTTACAGAAGTAACACTTAAACTGAAGCTTCCTTTCTTGACCAGAAGTTTTTGGCATCACAAATGCTATTAGTTTAAAATGTCAATTTAATATTTTTATGATTTAAAGAAATAGATTTTATCTAATATGACCAATGGACCTGGGAAATCAATATCCTTTGGATTGCTAGCTGTGGATCACGATTCTTAGGCAATAATACACAGCATCCTGTATGCAAAAACACAATTGTTTTTCTATCCCAGCTCTTCATTCTTCTGGTTACGATAGTCTAGTTATCCTATTCTCATTCTGGGCCAAAGGGCAACTTTGATAAATTCTGAGGTCTAGATCCATGAGAGAAAATTGTAGCTACCTATATTGAAATGTTTTCTGGAAATCTTTATTGGTGGAAAATTTAATTCTGTTTAATATTTTTCCAGCATTCCTAAAAGTATTAAACAGAATTAAACAGTTTAAATGTGTTGTACTTAAATTTCACGTTCTCTCTTCTAGGTTATATTTAAATTCGGCTGGATTCCACTTTCCCTGGACGGCTAAGAACATTTACCATATAAATCAAAAACTGATGAAGCCTAAAAGACTGTGTGTTTAAAAGGTTGACAGTGAAATGTTTTATGGACTTAAATGCCACATAAGTCAATTAAGTCGATTGGTATGTAGAAGACAAGGACCTGTTTCTAGCGGTGGTCATATTCACTGATTCAGTCAATACACCAGAAAACCAGCATAAGGAAATAAGAGGTCCCTCCATGGCTGGCTGGCTGTTATTGCCTACATGTTTACTTTGTTTCCAATGATGCTGAATTAGAACAGATTGAAAATCCTGCTGGAAAACCAAAGATTTAATTCTTTAAAGTTCCACAGGTAAAAATGAATTTTTGCTTCATTTTTAAACTGCATTCCTTATAGGTCTTCCATTAGTATGCAAGAGTCTGTTTACTTTTATTTTCATCATTTCATATCTCAAAACAGCAAATTCCAGAAAGTGGATTGTCATAAAGCAGCGTTAATCCTTGTGTCGTAGCAATCAATTTATTTTACTGGCAAAGAAGGCTGTCAGTTAAAACATTACTGCTATTGAAATTCTTATTTTGTTCTTCTTTGAGATTCTTCTTCTGCTGGTTCTTAAGGTTAACTTCTTCACCAAAGTTACAAAGGCTCAGGTACCTTTCTATTATCATTTCCTGGTGAGGTCTAAAGGCCTACCATACTATTCTCAGAACTTGCCAATGTACTGCATATCAGTTATACAGGTCTCCCACTATGTTGAGCTCAAAAGAAACCCCTAACTTCAAGTAGGCATATTTAAGATGTCTTGAATCAGGGATTTTGTAGCTGTAAAATTCAGTTTTAAACACATGACAAACTATAGTCAACAATTTATCTAAAGAAGCCAAATATGAAAATGTTATGAACTTATTAATCAACATCCTCTGTAGTTAGAAATGAATGAAATTTTGATAATACTAGTGGATGGACAGGCACAAAATGATTACCTAGAAAAGCAATACCTATTCTAGGCTTCAGTATCCTTTAAGGATAATTTGACCTTTCTCCCAATCAAATTTCAGTGTCTCTATCATCTCTGAGGTTGGAAAATTACACAGCATAAATATGTGAACACATTTTTGGACTATATAGCAGCTTCTCCATCTCTTAATATGTAATTATGGGTTTGCTATTTCCAATAGATCCTTTCTCTGGATAAGTTGTATTAGTGAAGCCCTCACAGAGCCCTGTAAAAGCCTTTGCTCTTGTACAGGATTAGATGGCAGACCTGATCTTGACCTGACGTCTTTAACCAGGTAAGTGTGTATGGGTACACTACAATCAATGTATCAGCAAAAACTGGATAAAATCTGTCATCCTACTATTTGAAATCATTCCAGTCAAGCCGTTTCAGGTTCTCCAATTTAGATGATACAGCTGAATTTCTCTAGAGCAGCTGAGAAAACATGCAACAACTGATTCTGCCAAGTCATGTGTAACTTACTCTTTTAAACGTTATCTGATGGTTAAAAAAAAAAAAAAAATCACAAAAGAGATGTTGCTGATATATTTAAAAAAATACTTTGGTGTTGGGGTTAGCTATCTCATTTAAAGTATCTCTTACTGGCTTGTTCAGCTATGTAGTTTTGGTCAAATACAAATTTAAATTGAGCCAGTGCTCCCAAAAATTGATACCTGTTTATGTGACTTTTTCTTAAAGAGTTCTGAGAATAGTAGTTACCTGTGAATCAATCAACCTATGACAAAAAAATTTTTTCTTGAAATGAGGGTAAAGAGAAGGCAACAGTGTTTTAATGCTACATGAATCAACTGGCTAGAGCAAGGTCAGCCCATAAAAGCAGACATAAATAATCAGAATGCTACTATATTTCTCTCCAGCATTTGAATAGTCTGTGGTTTCTTGGTAAAACTATATAGATCCGTTGGGTCACGGAAAAAAAAGGAAGGGTAAACCAAAAGATAACATTTCCTTTATTTTTAGCATTTTGAGCTTATGTTTTAGTAACCCTGTGTCCCCAAATAATAGTTTCTATGACCAAGTATACTCTCTTGGAAACAAATCCAGAATTCCAGCACAGTTTTATAAATGGCAAAGAAGTAATTTACTAGTAGACTTGGATAGAAAAATTCTTTAATCAAAACAAGTTTACATGTTGACACTTATGGCTTAACTAGAATAAATCTGTCCAAATTTAAATTGTATTAAGGACCAAACAGATATAATAGCAAGAGTTCCCTCAAAACAGTGGGTCCTAGTTCCATTATAAGACCTCTCAAAAGCAAAACTCCAATTACTGAAATATTTCAAACTTTTCATCTGTAGATGAAAACAATTACCCGAGAGGTCAAAGCATAAGATGCATGTCACATGCAAACACTGGTAATTAAGCCTTTTCCCCATATTCAGTTTCTAAACATGAGAAGTGTCTTTTAAGCTACTGCATACCAACTGACCTAGTATTCAAAATACCTTAGAAATGCTATGTGTTAAGTTACCCTTAAATTTTGTGTTAACCTTGGTTCACCGTGATTTAGTCCATATCCATGAATATACAGACAACTCCTTTATTTTTGTCTACTGTGTTTCCACTTTTTGCAATCCTGTCACATGTATGACATAGAAATAAAAATTCCCTTCTGGTATAGCCATGTTTTCAAATGGGTTAGTTTCCTTATATAGTATTTACTTTTATTTACTGCAAAAGTATTATGGATTGCATTTTTTCCAATTAAAAAAATACTTAGTGACTTCTTTAATGTGTGACTTTTTAAAAAATTCAGAAACTTGAGACATTTCTCAAAAATAAACTTTTATCATTTAGTTTTGTTTCAGCTACTAGTGCCTGTAAAGGATCTTAAATGGTTGAACCCTAAAGCCAGATTTTCCTATATATACTCCTGCACGCTGCAGGAAACTCATGTGACTTCACTGAATTCCCAGCCACAAAACTAAATTACCCTTCAAAAGTTAACATGAGTTTTGTACCCCGTAGACCAGTTCGTCAGTTGGATATCTAGTTGTCATACAAAAAGGCATACAGACCACACATTGTTACAAAGCAGCAGGATAATGTAGCACAATGTAGACTGAGATTAAAATTAACTTTTGATAAAAGGGAGGGAGTGAATACTTGTATAGAAGTAACATTTTATCTACCGTAAAAATGACTAACTTCTACAAAACCCACAAACAATGAAAAGACAGTCTGGTAAATCCAAGATTTGTAAAAACTATGCACAAAACCCACAGTATTTGGGAAAAGAGGAAAGGTTTATACAAGTAGCAGTTTTAAAAATGTAACCTTTTTCTACTATCAATTACACATTAACATACACACACTAATTGAAAAATATACTACAACCAATGTCTGGAAAAGCAGTTTAACATTTCCTAAAATGGACTTTCCCTCACATTTACTGTAATGTAGCTGTTAATACTGCACAAGTACAATCAGCAATGTTTAGTCACTTTTAAACAAAGATAAGGAGATTTCTCCCTCAAAACAAGTTTTAAACATCAAAACCTATGCTTATAAAAATTTAAAACTTTCAGCAGTCTAAATATTTCGAATGAAAACCATTACAAACTTCTCAAATGTTCTTTATATTCCAGGTATGTCAACCTAGTTATCTAGTGTAGAATCCTTCAGAGATATTTCAGTCTCTCTCTCTTCACTGGATGGCCTAAAGAAAAGGGGGAAAGAAAGGTGTGACAACTGGGATTAGGATTTTTTCCTCAGGAGGAAAAAAGATATTAAATCTGTGCATTTGTTTTTAAAATCACCAAAAGAATTTTTTCCGTGACTTATTGTTGTTATCTTTTGTCCAAAATTT